TCTCCTGTCACAGTGGAACAAGATGGCAACCTAACAAGCCACGACCTCCCCAATCACGGCGTGGTATGAGTTCTAAACTCAGCTCAGTAGTGTTACTGGACCCAGGTCCGTCCTTTCTTATAATCTTGACGACGATCATGCGCTGCGTAAAGTCAGCCAGGTGTAGCTTGAGAAGAGGATGCGACCACTTACTCCTTCGTTCTGTTGCACTGTTTGTGCTACCTTAGATAGACGTTCGTGATTGATCCAGTTCACATTTCCGAAGCTTCGTATGGTGTCCCCGGCCTTCAACCCAGCCTGATCCGCAGGACTACCGGGCACGACGCTGTTCACCTTGGCAAACGGCGTCCCAATCATTTCAGCATCTGATAAACTGTTCTCACCCAAGTTGCTTCGATGAACTGCAGTCCCGTTCGCACCGCCAGCGGGAACGGCGGCTTGCGCACGTTGAAGGCTGGCGAAATGCTCATGGAGACCCTTTTCGAGATGTTTCATTACTTCTTTGTGGTCGGTTCGCAGGTGAATTATTCGTGCTCGTGTCGTGCGGACTATACTTTAGATTTAGTTTCCGTGCCACATATGGAAATCCGATATACCTTACTCTGCGCGACGTCGATATCGTCTCGTGGAAAACCATCAAACGTCGTCAGGGACGTGTTCATATTCACGCCATGCTAAAAACACACATTATCAGTCCGAACATCCAGAGACGTCTGCGTAGATCGGGAGACTCACAGATGTCAGCACGGCGCTAAGGGCCGCCAGTTCTGCTTCGATACGTTCCTTCTCTTGCATCAGGTCCACCATGGACAGCTTGGACAGGTCGCGGGGAACCCCTCCGGACGTAGGTCCAGAGGGTACAGTGGGGGCGTGAATATTATCGTTCATGGGTATTCCCATCCCTTGATGACAAGGTATAGTTAGACTATCATAGTGTTGTTTGGAAGTTGTTGGTCGTAGTCCAAGAGAGCTAACGGATGGGCGACAGTGGTGGGTCCACCTTAAAAGATAAGTCCGCGGGGTCAGAAAGGCTCCTTTGCTGTTCTTGGCACATCAAGCTTCCATGTTCCACTAATTTAATTGTCTACGCTCCAGGTATAGGTAGATTCAATCCGTCAAATAATAAAATGGACTCTTTCAAATACTCCTGTGTTTGTATTCCTTTCACGTGTTTTTAATCAACCAAGAAGGACGCTATGAATGTGTTGTCACAGTGTTTTCCTGCTATGGAGGAGGCAGGCAGAAACGATGCAGAAGCGCAAGGCAAACAGGAGGTGGATGGACAGTATAGCATTACAGTTGGTCGATCTTCAGTCCTGCAGATCCTACAACGGGCGTCTAGATTTATGTCTTGTTTGTCGTTGCATTGCTTCCTCTGCGCCGGTCGCAGCTTCCATAAAGCTGATGACTCCTGCCGCGCCTGCCGGTTTCTGCACGCCTGCACTATGATCTTTAGAAACGAACTTCTCGAACTTGTCAATCAAACGGTTCATACGAAAGGTCTTCTGGATTAGTCTCGCATGCTCATGCAAATATGGAAGAGTCCAAGGAGGATACCCTATCCGAAACACCGCTCCTTCTAGTGGAACCTCCGAACTCAGAAGTGAAAGTAGCGGATGCGAGTGATTCAGTTCACGACTCAGGCGGACGAACAACTGATTCAGGATTGTTTAGGAGATGGTTTGAAGAGTTCTGGCTGAAGAGGAGTCTTCCATCACCAGCCCAGAAACACGTTGAAGGTTGGCCCGAGATCCTGTTGACCAAGTGCCCTAACGACGACTGGTCACCTCACTGTGGCCTTCAAGATCAGCAATGGGAACAATTATCAGCCCACTCGTCACATCTGGGGATTGTCAAAACAGCGAGCTTCACTGACCAAAGCGTAGGGAGATCAAGGGCTGCAACACAGAGCACCTTCAACCCGAGCATACATTCGGGCGGTCGTGGTTCAATCGAGAGTTTGAGGCCTACTGTCAGCCCTTCGATATCCCATGCAGTGCTACTTCACTCTCTTGAGAGGCGTCAAATACTTCGGGAGATCATCACTACCGAAAGCGACTACGTATTCGGGTTGAAAGCCCTTGCTGATGTATGCCCGAAAGCAGTATCTCGTGCAATTGACCTTGAAACTGACCTTTTCCCGTCAATGACCAGGTACTTCTCATTTGTTCCGTCAGACCCCGGATATATCGCAACGTCCAACAGATTCGAGAACTGCACCAGACCTTCTTGGCCAGGGCTCGTGCCGTGAGCCCCAAGTCTGTTTCGGCCGCATCCGAGGTTGATAAGCTGTTCCCTCAGGGCGTTGCTAAAGGCTTGAGGGCGATTGACTTGAAACGCCTTAATAACCTTCAAAGCAGATCCTTGAGGAAGCAGAGCCTGAAGACATCGATAATTGCCCACCTCAACTCATTGGCTGCGCAAGGTTCGGAAGCCTATGACATCGCGCACGAGATTGCTGAATTGGTACGTGTTTGCATCCAGGCTGACGCTTTATTGTGCTAACTCTTTTCGGTGCAGTCAAAGTCCTTCAAGCTCTATGAAGACTTCTGTAGCAATTTTGAACTACTCTTGCAAGACGTGAGCCTTCTGCGCGGGTCAATACCGAATTGGGAGACCTTCGAAGGAGGCATAGAATCTCTTTCAAAGTCTGTGACGTCCTTAGAGAACAAGCTCTTGACAGATAACAGATCAATGTCTTTGAGTGATCTCGCCGTCAAGGTTTTCCCAACCCCAGCTTCCAGATCCGCCATCTCTGTGCTAACTAGCCTCAGCCAGTTCAGCGCCTTTGTAAGTATGAGCTGTTCTTGAGGGAACTACTAAATTGCACGCCGATCCAAGATGACCCGTTATCGCATGACAAAATCAAAGAAGTACTGGATGGCCTTCGCCCAACAATTGAGCGAGTCAATCAAGCCAATGAAACTCTCAGGCAAAGGGAACTCATTGCAAAAACACTCCTGCTGAGGGAAAAGCTGGAATTGCCAGAGCCGGTGAGACACATAGTCACCGTTCTTCATCGCAGAGATTACTGACAAGCAGGGATCTGGCATGCAGGACATTGTTCACGATATCTACCTACAATTGGGACCCATCAAACTATGTGGCGTCCTTCATGCGACCTACCAGTTACGGGCAGATATTGTGGGTGAATACGTCGTCTGCGCTCTGTTCGAGAGCTATCTTGTTCTGGCTGCTTCAAGAGACGGCTGTTCAAGACTCCGAGCTGTAGCATGCTTGTACGTCCGTGATCTAAAGATCGACACCTTGAGAAACGGGAGAGGTAAGCGGCATACATCCCGACCCTTTTTGACCTCTTTCCCTGTCCGTGGCACACGCTTAATCTCGATACAGGGCTATGTTGCTACGGATGCTTATTTTCGTGGAAGCTGATATTTGAACATCGAAATAATCAGTACGAGCTGGTCTTGAGCGCGTCATCGGCGATTGAAGAGAAGCAATGGAAAACCGAGATACTTAGGGCGGCGGCGGCATTGACCGAGGTTTCGACAGCAGGACAACCGGAATCAAATCTATACTCCTTTGAGGTGCTAGGTCTACTCCCACTCGAATGCTCGACGGGTTTAACACCTCTCTTGTCCCGAAAATCTTCCATCCACTCATTGGCTACTTCTGCGAATAAGGCGAATTTGCAGCACATTGTGATCAGAAAAACGCACAAGCCTGGAGAGGCATCGCCTGAGGCGGATGGAGAAATCGAACGCCCAAAGATCCCCCCTTGGGCCTCAGCGCTGGTCCTGACAACAAGAAGACAAGATAGAGTTGATCTGGAACGATTCATCTTCAACATATATACAAAGAGCTCACTGCCTTATCCTGGAATGCCTCCGGCGAAAGGCAAAGACTTGCTCAAGCCTAGTAAGCTTATGGTAGCTATCCGGGAAGGGGTGTACAGACGTTCTAGTTCCGGAGGCCTTCCAACCGCTAGGCGTCCTGCCATAGTACTTGCTCCTGCAAAAACCAGCAAAAATGAGCAAATCGGCCGGGGTGAGAAGGGCAGAACTGACGAATTGCCTGTTATCGAGGACAAGAAGGCTGCCTCCCCTATGAGTCGCATGGGAACGGTTCGACGAGCTCTTACTGTCAGGTTTCAGGCCAGACAAAAGTCTGCTTCTCATGCCGATCTGCCTTTGCAGTATAAGGGGCAAACAGACCAACCTTCTACCAAAGTGTCAGTACGAGACATCTTCAACTCTGTATCTCGGAGGAGCTCAAAGAGAGGTTTGCATATAGCTTTGAGCATGGATGGTGGAGCACAATGATGCAATGCACATTGAAAGTACGACATACACGCCATGGATCACTGTCAGGGATACAGAAATGGTATACTATTATTATTATGATCACTTTTCGTTCATTTTGCTTCGATAGGCAGTGGGGTTGCCGGGTTAGTGTGGGTAGAGGACTGGGGATAGGCATGGCTGGTATTGCTGCACCCTTGGCGAGACGTAATGAAATAGCATAGGAGACTACGGATTAGCCTAAGCTCAAAGTCGAATAACGGTGACAAGTGAATTACATGATGAAAGATCTCCCCACCAGGCTTCCCAGTAGCAGTCAATCGGCTGGGTTGCGCTGGGCAAAGCGGATCCGTCAACAGTTGAATTGGAGGATGAAAGTCGTAACTGGGAGAGACCGATGACGTCGGAGGGGTTGATGGCTGTGCAGGTTCCTCAACAGACGACCTTATATAAGGAGGACTCGGTCTGCAGCAGCTGTAATCAATAATTGACCTCTGCTGAAACAATATCCAATTCCTCTCTGACAAGTATCATATCCTTTTTCCCCTCTTAGCCTAGACGCTTCGTTCTCATACTGTGAGCTTCCTCCCCGCATATCACCTTAGTGACGTCATCAACCATCACCTCACGCGATCACTCCTTACGACCTCTCGAACTTCCCAGAAGCGTGATTTTTCCTTCATATCAATTCTTCATACCTCGACTTCATACCTTAAACATCACAAGAAACCAAACAAAATGCGTGCCAACGATCCAAGCTCCAAAGTCTTCTACAAGGGCAACTCGGACGACTTCATCGTCTTCATCGACGACCCCGCCGCCCTCAAGAACTGGAAGAACGACCGCTCAATTCCCCTATCCGACGTAGTAAACGGGTTCAAGATCTTTGTTACTCACAGGTATGCCTATACCTAATTGATTTGATTTGTTTCCACCTATAATCCGTATGCTAACCCAAGGCGAACTGCAGACACGGATCCCAGGGTGTGCTTGATGGCGCCAGCAACGCCAGTCTGGACAATGAGTTCGGGACTCACAATATCGATGATTGCATTGTGAAGATCTTGGAGAAGGGATCTTTCCAGACTTATACTGTAAGTTTTCTTTCTTTTTTTTTCGTGTCTCAAGTCAAGGGCGGAAGCTGATTTATGAACTAGCAAAACGAGCACCAGGCCGATACGAACCCGAGCAATGGCCCTGCTTTCCGGTAGATTGGGGTCGTGGCTGTGGTTGTTCTCCAGTTGAATCGTGGGCTTGAGCGGTTTGGCTTGGCCGCTATGCTGCACTACATTCTATGAGTGATGATGATTTATGGGTTTCCTTCCCGTGGTAGGAATGGATCTGAGGAATATGTATCTAATGCTAGGCCATTACCATATTTCAATGGACAATAGATAGCGGGCTGAGCTTGCTGTCCTGATATTGATACATGAGTTCAGATTTGGGTTAACTGTGTTAGAATTGTCGTAGATTATCGTGATGTGTATAGCTATATATTGTATGGCAGTAGAGAAGTCTATATGCAAATCATTGGCTAGGCAGCTTGCCCGCAAGCGCCTCTCGGCGCTGGACAACCCAGCTTCCCAATTCGTTCCACACAGCTTGTTTCTCCGCGATACTCATCCCAGCAGCCAGGCCGCTCGTCGTCGTAGCGACAAACACCCGCGCGCCTTCCCATCCATCCGGGCCATCACATCGCCCCATATTCTCCGTCTCGTCCTGCCAGCCATACCGGAACTCCTCCTTGCGGATCGCCCTCCCCTTGCGCGCCCGCCACACAGCCTCCCAGATACTCTTGCCCACGAGGCACACCGCCTCGGGCCGCTGTTTCGCGACCTTCGCCTCAAGCACGGGGACACCCGCGTCCATCTCGGCCTTGGTGAGCATGCTTGCGTCTCGCGTCGGACGCTCGACGATATTCGTGTTCCCGATGTTGTAGAGTTCGGGAAGGCGGTAGGTGTCTGAGGGCGGGTGGCGGATGGGGGTGATGCCGGACCAGTGGAGGAGTTTCCAGAAGAGGTTGGAGGGGTGTGCGTAGGCGAAACCTGTGGTGCCGGTCATGATGCCTGGGTTTACGCCGACCAGGAGTAGGATCAGATTCGGCGGGATGGTGTCGCGGAGGAGGCAGATGGAGGATGTAGCTGGTGTGGAGGGTTGTCGGCGACGGGAGCGAGAGCGGGAAGTCTCTTCGGGAGTTGTGGACGGTGTGAGAGGGGAGTCGGGTCTTGATGGAGCTAGCGAGGTGGTGGAAGAAGCGGAGCGGGAACGGGTGATGCGTGGTGTAAGGCTGGTGGTTACGGGTGAGGATCGGCTTGAACGGAGGGTTCGTGGTCGTTTGATGGGCGGTTGAAGTGTCGAGGCATTGCTGGATGGATCACTGGGTGGTTCTGAGTGAGACTCGGGCTTGCGCTTGATCGTTGCCATTAGAAGATTCGGCGCTGAGGCGACCTTTGACAGCGACTCCCTTGTCGATGCCAGGCTCTTGGATGCATGAAAGTATTGGTTCAGTCTGCCGTTGAAAGTGGTCTTTTTGTTCACAGGGACATCATATTCGTCGTCGATGACAGCTTCATCTTGACATCCTTGAGAAATGTCCTCAACAACAGGAGCAGGTGGCGACATGTTTGCCTGTTGACGAAGACCTTGCTGGTGCGGATTAGTGGTGATGGAGTCAGTGGTTCTCGCAGGAGTATCAGGAGACGGTCTGCGAGGAGCTCATGGACCCTTCAACCCTGATATTATTGACTCGAATGACTTTGTGTGAAGTCTGCTTTTATCCTCCTCGTGAGATATCTACCCTGGGAAATACTGTTCTGGGATCCAATCACAATGGCGTTGCCACTCAGGCACGGTTGCTGGCGGTCATGTGACTATTACCGAGGTTTGGTATTAAGCTGGGCGAGAGAGATTTCTTAATCAGCGACTCTAACTTATATGTCCAGGTACATGTAATATATACAAGAGCAAGCAGCCCACTGGCCTTTTGCAGCTTCGACTTCTAGACCAGCCCACTATACCGGCGGGCCATATGTTACAGTCCCATAATCGCCCCTGCTGCCCTGGCGACTGAGTATTAATTCTTTCAGGTTCCAACGCCTTATAGTCCTGTTCATGATTCGTTACGTCGTATATTCACTTCGTGATATGTAGAGTTCTTCAATAATGGGGATTTCGGACTGTTATACTTTGAGGAGGTGTCGTTTCGGCAAAGTCCACGGCTCCGGACATACAACCTGTCATTCGTCAGATAATGTATGCGAGGAAATCGAAACAAGAGACTCACCTCGCCTTCGGTGTACGCCCAGAAGTAGACCGCAATTCCGATCAGATAGTAGATGGCAGGATCCGTCCCCTGGTAGAGAAGGGCAGCGAGGAGAGCGCTTAGAGGGTACATGATGAGTCGCACTTCGATGCTGCGGTGTGGTAGGGTCCCAGCGAGGAGGTTCAACGGCCATTCCCATGCGATGCCGAGCAGGCCCATTATGAGGTTGAGGATTTGGAGGATCGGGGTAGGTTTTACAGCGCTGTTAAGATTTCTTGTGGTGAAGTCCCAGAATATCTTGGGCCAGATGAAGCCCTCCACAGCGCTGCCTACTTGATCTAGGAGGCCAATGTGTCAGTTAGTCGTGGTGTAGTCTGAAGACTAAAGAATCACATACAAGCTGCAGCGGTGAGGATGATCAAGCGGGCCCAGTGGTTTTTGATCAGCCTTCCCATTGCGACAAGAATACGACGATATCGAGATTATTGAAGGCTTAGACGCTGTATATTTGACAAGAACGCTTTCGTCCAGCGAAAGACTTCCATGCAGAGACCGAAGGGCTCAGTATTGCTCAACGTGTCGTGGACCGTAATCAGACGTCCGCTCTGCCAGTTGGTCTCGCATAGGGAATGATCGGTGACAGTGACATGGCAGTTGAACAAAGGTATAATTACTCTTATCTTCGCATGAGTCGAGTCGAATCGTAAAATTTAAGGTTTGTATCACGGATATCACATCAACGGAAGACGATCAATGCGTCGAAATCAGACGACAAAGGCTTGCGAAGAAATGTGAAGATAGCGTGATGGCAGGATGAGTGGGAGGGGAAGCGATTAGTTACATAGATAGCTCACAGTGCCAAATCAGCAGAGCGAAGGAGACCACATGATCACTAGCGAGAATATCTCCACGCAGTAGTGCAGAATCATAAAAATAAATACTTAGCACTGCAGAGGATTCCTCGTTCTGGGATGGTCAGAGCAACTGTGACACGCGCAGTGTCTGATCAATCGCCTTGAAGCTGAGAACCAATTGAAGCGAAAGGCCGCTCGAGGCCGTCGAAGCCCCTCTTGGCTTCTTCATGCAGAGAGTGAGAAAGCATGAACGATTGGGCGAGAGCATGGACACTAGCGAATAAACTAAATGAATTCGAGCTGGGAAATCCTGGAGATGCTGAAGCTGGTAGGTTGGGAGTCCCTAGTTGGGCGCTATGAGACGTGCAGGATGAGCGAGTAAGAGGACGAGTGGGAGAGGACACAGAGCGTGACAGACTGCAGGAGATTAGCGGGAACACGCTTTAGCGGCCGATGCAGCTGTGTGATCACAATCCTCAAAAGACAGAGTTGAGCAGTCTATCATCTTGCGAATATCGGACTTCAGTTACTGGAAAAGGGAAATAGTAATGGACTGTACAGAACGGCATCTCAAAGACTCGACCGACACCAAAATGTCCCTTTACTTCTATGAAATTCTGTTCCGATGACTTGACAGTTGACACTTCTACAGGAAGTACAGTATAGTTCTGACTCTAAATGCGATGGCGAGGATTTAAGAAACCGATATGCCAATGAACCGATTGTATATGAGACAGTCGAGAACGAACGGTCGAGATGATCCATTCAAGCTTATACTTCGGCACGTCTCAAAGAGCAGACTTCGTCTCACCGTCTTTCCATCTCATTGTTCTTTGTTTTTAGGTGGAACAAGGTAAATATCTAATTGACGGAGATTATACCTTTGAATCCACGTGCATATCTTATAATACTACCCCTCGTTTTGTATTCCTTTTAAGGCACGATTCTTCAGGCCCTCGAGAGCGGCGCAAGGTCGGAGATATTGTCAACTTTGGATTAGTGGTAGATATCTATGAATAGACATATCTAGATACCTGAAATGAACAGGGCCCAAGGACTATATTTGGCATCAAATTTAATATGAACACAAACATGAAGGCTGGTACCACAAGTATCGGCATACTTATCTGGGGGAGGCGTTCTGATTGAGATGCAAGAGTTCGTCTTCTGATTGGCTATAAGAAATGTGACGGAGATGAGCGCCTGCAGAACGTCCGTGATTGGTCAGTTGGCTGTTTCTAGCATTGGGGACTGGCGATGGCTCTCAGTACCTAGAGTCAGTAGTACAGAGTGCCTAGATAGAGAATATCCAGGTGCGTTTATCCGGGCGCACAAGAGTTAAAAATAAATCAACATCAGATTTTGACCATAGCACTAGCTAGGATGGTTCATGATTGATCCCGGCACCACATGGTTCGCTGATGGAGCCCCCAGGATTTGAGAACGCCAGTGGAACTTGGGAGAGCAGAAAAAAGACAGCGAGAGGACGAGGAGAAAAGACGCCCCTTGGCGATTTACCGTAATAACTGGCAAGTCCGAACGAGGACTCCTGATAGGCATGGCATCTATCACACTCAGACGATCTCGGCGTGCTCTTGACCTGGAAGAGATCATATCCGAACAGTGACAAAAGGCGGAGACTTTCTCTATCCAGTCCGTCACTTTACTCATTTATCGTATGATGGGTAATTGGCAATGGACCGGCAAGACTCAATGTGTAAATGAGCACCTATACGGAATAGATGGATGGTTGTGATGATACTGGCCAGCCACAGAAGGATTGGAAGAGAGGCATCAATCAGAGGAGTAAATAAACGCCAAGTGCATGAGCATGGACGTTTGCCTGGATAACTATTGACTTGCGCTAAGAATTCAAAATACAGCACTATCCAGTAAATGATTAAATATAGCATATTTAAAAAGATCATTAGCAAAGTGAAGATTATTATTATGATTCCCTGCCTGTGCTGGTGGCTTCTTTGACCCCTTCCCCCTCTTTCTTCCTCCCTGCAGCCAAACCACAGCGCTGGGAAACCAAGCAAGCTACCTAAGCGAACTTCCTGCAAAAAAAGCCCTCCTCAACGTCATCCCATCATGTCTAACTAGTTCGGTCTGTCTATCCAACCATCCTAGATGCTGTTCTTTATTCTTTCTTCTAATACCGTTAGACTTTGTTGATCATGAATCTCTTCGCCTCAGCTTCTCTCCTTGACTGTCACTTGCCCTGTAGCGTTAGCCGTTAACCTGTCCGGCATCGCAACACTTACGCGCCGCATTGCGATCTTCTCTTGGCCATAATAACCGTGAAAGGTCCTATATGGAGGCTCTTAGCTCTGGTAGATCTGACATTGACAAGAAATATCGGTACATGACTGTCTCGCTTATCACCCCTGAAGCGACTGCGTTCGACATCCATCACGAACTCCCACACCAGTTGCCGACATTGGATTTGATTTCAATCCTTTTTTGAAGGAATTCAGAAGTAGTTGACTGTTACAACATTGCTATTAATCCAACCGGGATCCCTTCAGGGGTAATCGATCCTCGCCGGTCGATGATCCCCAATCCTCTGCCCAGATATTACATCCTCCAGACTCAGCCCCGTCAACATGCGGCATCCACTGTCTTCGCAATTTACAGGATCTAAGATTGTGTTTTACTTTCTGTTCTGGGGTGTACATATTGGCATCTTCGCCGCAGGATGGTACGTCCAGATATAGCTCGAGGGACCGGATGACGCTGACGGATATGCGTTCAGGTACATACAAGCATCAAACCACAGATTGGACGCCCTCAATGCATTGAAGTGGTCTGTGTGGTTCTCCAGAGCTGCAGGTCTTGTCTTGACCGTTGATGGGACTCTTATCGTACTGCCTATGTGCCGGAACCTCATTACTCTCGCCAGACCCCGAATTCGATGGCTGCCCCTTGACGAATCTATATGGTTTCATCGGCAGGTGGCGTATGCGATGCTCATCTTCACTATCATACACGTTGCTTCCCATTACGTCAAGTAAGTCGGACGCCGTTGAATGCTCTCTGCAGATGGCTAATTCACCGAAGTTTCTACAACATCGAGAAGGACAAAATCCGCCCCGTAAGTGCTATCCAGATTCATTATACCCAAGCAGGCGGAATCACCGGCCATGTCATGCTTCTATGCATGATGCTTATGTATACCACTTCCCACCATCGTATTCGACAGCAGTCCTTCGAGACTTTCTGGTACACGCACCACCTGTTCGTTCCTTTTCTGCTGGCCCTCTACACACATGCAACTGGTTGCTTCGTGCGAGACACTCCAGAACCAATCTCCCCATTTGCGGGGAAGAGATTTTGGAATCATTGCCTTGGTTATGAAGGTTGGAGGTGGGAACTGGTAGGGGGCAGTCTCTACCTCATGGAGAGGCTCTATCGCGAGATTCGGTCCAGACGCGCCACCGTTATCACAAAGGTGATCCGTCATCCATATGGTAAGCGAAACCCCGCCCTGTTACTGTGCTTGCCGTTATCTCACAACTCGTCAGATGCGATGGAAATCCAGTTTCGCAAGGACAGCATGAAATACAAAGCCGGACAGTGGCTCTTCATCCAAGTTCCCGAGGTTTCCAACACTCAGTGGCACCCCTTCACCATCACATCCTGTCCCTTCGATCCGTATGTCAGTATCCACGTCCGCCAAGTAGGCGACTTCACCCGAGCGCTCGGTGACGCTCTCGGATGCGGTCCCGCACAGGCCAGAGATATGGAAGGCTTAGACCCGCTGGGGATGTACGAAGTCGCCCTCCAAAACGGGCAGAAAATGCCCAAGCTCCTCATCGATGGGCCCTACGGCGCCCCCGCCGAGGACGTCTTCGAGAACGAAATTGCCGTCCTCATCGGCACTGGCATCGGCGTCACCCCCTGGGCCTCCATCCTCAAGAACATCTGGCACCTCCGCTCAGGCCCGAACCCGCCCCGGCGTCTCCGCCGGGTCGAGTTCATCTGGGTCTGCAAGGACACCTCCTCCTTCGAATGGTTCCAGGCCCTCCTGTCGTCGCTCGAGTCCCAGTCTGCCAGCGCCGCCGCCAGTCAGGGCAGAGCCGAGTTTCTGCGCATCCACACTTACCTCACGCAGCGGCTCGACGAGGACACCGCCGCCAACATCTACCTCAACTCGGTCGGCCAGGAGGTCGACCCGCTTACCGAGCTCCGGAGTCGCACGAACTTCGGCCGGCCGGACTTTAACCGGCTCTTCACGGCGATGCGAGATGGGTTGCATGACCAGACGTACATGCCCGGCTTTCATGCGGCCATGACGACGGAGATCGGAGTGTACTTTTGCGGCCCGAATGCGGCAGCCCGGCACATCCGGGAAGCGGCCAAAACGGCGTCCACCAGGGACATCAGGTTCAAATTCTGGAAGGAACATTTCTAGTATCTAGGCGTTAGGTTGCTGACTTCCTGGCTTTGCCGTGCTGAACAGAGAACCATCAGCTGCAGGGGATATCAAAACAGAGTATCATGAATGAGTTTAACGTGTTACGAGTTATGACTCTCTTTATTTGATTTTGGTTGGATTATACAAGGTATTGGGCCTGCATGTATCATAGTACAGAATC